CGCACACTCCAAACAGGGAAGTAAAGTGCGGGGGCTGATTTCCACAGAGCAACAGCCACCCCTGTCATTGTGTTAGTCATCTGTCCCGAACAGGGTGGGAAGGGCAAGGGAAACATCTGGAGAAGGCCAGACCAGCAGTTTAGCGGCAAGGAAAGCGTCACAGCGCCAGTGTGACTGCAATAACAAGGAGCGGCCAGCTGCAGCCTGGACTACACAGCAAGTTCCAGGTCAGCCTCAAGTATGCAGTGAAAACACCGTTGCAAAGAAAATAAAATTAAAGCAAAACCAGGCCTCAAGGTCAACCAGGGCAGTGGCTCTGCTGGCTTACACCTTGTCCCCATCTGCCCAGTAGAGTGGAGAGGGGACATACCTCCGGTAACTGCTCGGGTCTGGCCCAGGGCCAGGGGCAGATTCAAAGGAAAGGGGAAGCCACTGTGCTGAGGAGGAGTTACACCTCCTCTGACCCCACCACCACCACAATGCTGCTCAAACAACTTCAAATAGGGGTAGGCCACCAGACCACAATTGAGAGATGAAGCTTGTTCATTCTAATGACACCTTCTGAGTGTGGTCACACCACTCCCCAGACCCCACTCCAGACCTGGGGTTCAAGCAGGGGCAGAAACAGGGCCTGAGTGGGTCTCGGCTGCCTCTTGAAAACCGGGTCACACTTATACGTCAGTAGAGAGAAGGTTGTCGGGCTGTGGGTGAAAAGCCCCAGAGACCCCTAACAGTCAAGTTCTCGGGGGCAGAGGCAGGAGAACTGGGAGTTTAAATGGCCATGAGCAGCCAGGAAGACCCTCTGCCCTCAGACCTCCACACCCACGAGCTTCCCTGAGCCTGCTCTTTCCAAAAAGTAAAAGATAATTTAACAGTGGCATAGGCTGGGCAGGAACTGATGAAGCCTCTCAAGGGGCGGTTAGCCTGGTCATGGTCACAAACAGTGTTAGACTGTAGGAGAGAAGACAACTGGTCCCAGCTGACAAACACACAGCTGTGGCTTTACCAGAGGACCAGCCCTATTTAATTCTGTACCATAGACTTCAAAGCTGGGAGCTGGTCAGGGTGAAGGCAAATGTGGGGCTCCACTCAAGATGGTTATGCCTTCTCCTTTCTCAGTACAGACCAACCAACACTCTCAGGGGGGCAAAAGCATGTCTCCCCACCCAAAAATCTCTGTGACAGATTTCCAAACAAACCTCATTCAAAAATTCTTGCCGCTTTCTCTTTCCTCTTCCAAGTTATTTGGGATCATTCCCCTGAGGTACAAGTCACATCCAAAGCAGGACGTCCAGAAAAGTTCAAGTGTTCCCATCTGACCCCCCAGGTAACAAAGAGAACTGTCATTATTCCATCCCATGGACATCTGTCCATGTCCCATCTAGGTCCTAGGAGGCAGAATAGCAAGGCTGGCACCCACTGGGCATTCCAGGATGGGAGGCAGTGGTGGTAAAAGACAGAAGTGGGCAGCACCTTGGAACTGTCCCAGCTACACAACACTGGTGTCACGCAGGAAGATGGTGCTCCAGATGGGAAGTAGCTCTGATCAAATGTCATATGCACCATGTTTTTTGTTTGGAGAGCTTCCTCTCTGATGGCTGGAAATACAGCTCAGCAATACTGTGCTTGCCTAGCACACACCAGCCACCGAGTTCCATCCCTGGTACGGGAGGGGTAAGGGTAGATTTCCTCTTGGGGTATTTCGAAAGCCTCTAGTAAAGCCTCTCACGTTGAAGAGTGCCTCACAGAGAAGTAACTTTCAGGGGTCCCTGGGGTAGTTAAAGCCACAGCACAGGAAGCAACTCCCACGGCAACTCCAACCCTACGCTTAAGAAAGCAGCCATCTAGAATTACACCAAGCCTTCACAGATGGCATCATACCAACCTATATAGCTGATCTCTATCATTATGACCCTTGCAGAGATGTGGTGAAAAGGTTAAGGAACCAACACTGTGCCAGCGTACCTTCCTCCAGGGCATGGGCAGTGTCAAACAAGGCTTGACAGGGAAAGCTGCAGAGCCACTGGGTGACCTGAGCCTGGCTTAAGGAGCATGGATGCTTCCCAGGTGCAACTAAAGTTCTTGGGCCTCCAGGGGGCAGCTGGGAATTCTGACACTCATCCTTCACCACCCATGGTCATGAGGCTTTCCCAGACTTAAAAGTTCTGAGTTCTGGAGCAGTTCTTCCAAGGCAGAGGACTTCTTCCATGGTGTTGCCAACATGTCCTTTCACCATCTCTCCTATTCATTGACTACACACACACACACACACACACACACACACACACGCACACACACGCACACACACACGTGTACCTGGGAACTGCATTTCATCTCCCACATCAACCCTGGACAGGTATAAGTTACCCCATTTTAAGGACTAGTAAACTGAGACACTCAAGAGTTGAGAAAGGGCTCTGCTCCATGCAACTTCTCAGCCGCCTCCTCTCAAGTCAGATTCTCTAGCTACCCGGGGCCCACCACCTGCTCCTCCCACCCCTGCCTCCTAGAGCTAATGTGAATACAGTACTTTCCCACCAGTATCCAAAACTGAGGATGCTACCCCTAATCTCCGCTTCACCACCTGGGCTTTGCACAGACTTCACCTGGCTCAGGCCAGAGTGGTCCAGGAAATGCCTCCAGGAGTGGCCATTAGAGACTCTGGGACATGGAGAGGAGTGGCTGCCCTGGTTCTCGGTTAGTGCATATGCTGTGAGGTCCAGGGACTAAAGGTACAGAGCGAGCCAACAGCATGGACTTTTCCTTTGCCCGCCCTAAGTGCCCCCCTTCCTGCCCTCTCCAACTCTATAAATAAGCCGGGTCAGTGCATCAGCAGAAAGGCAGCCAGGTGGGCGTGAAGAAGGCTTGTGGAAAAGATGACTTCTGAAAGTAAATTAAGGCTCCCATTCAGATCAAGGGATAGCACGTCAAAGTCTCCTGGGAGCACTGTTCTTGGCAGAAAACAGGCCCACCTGGACTTGCAGGCTGGGCCAGCTCCACAAAGCAAAATTCAAGGCCAAGAGAGAAGCAAGGGCATGAATTGGAAAGAAAGGGGTGAAAAAAAATCAAAGAAGCTTCCCTGCTTGTTGCTGTTTTTGTTTTCTGAGTTTGTTTTAACCTGTACCCTTGGTTCACCCTTCTCCTAAAACATATTCCATATGTAATTACCACCCTGGTTGGAATAGCCAAATGGCAAAGGGATGATGGGAATGGGAAAAGGAAGGAACTAAGAGATCAGGGAAGAATTCCATCCCACACCCAGTACCCTGATCTGCCTGGACCAGGAAGGAGGGAAAGGACACGAAAAAGAGAAGGAAAAGAACAAAACAAGGACCAAGTTGTACCACGTGACCCGGCAGTCAAACAGTAAGTCATGAGGAAATGAGGAGAGCACACCAGGGGAAGGGGGGGGGGGGGATGAAGTCAGGTCAGAGCCCTGCCTGGAATGTGCCCGGTTCTATCCCAGCCCAGTCACAGCAGGCCAGCCAGGAAAGCCCTTCCCTATTCATGTTTTAGGGGGAAAAATCATTCAAGGTCGGACCCTTTTTATATCCAAATCTTGCTTCCCTCTTTGTCTGTACCTGGCTCAAGGCTCACCCCTCACCAGCAAGCCTTCCTTGATTTACTCAAACCCAGCAAGGTTTTCCAGCAGCTCTCCCATTCCCTTATAGCCCCCACCCTGGAGGCTTAGAAATTAACTGCTCCAGCAAGTCACAGGAGGTGGTCAGCCCTGGAGACCAACTCTTCCAGATGAGCACAGGCTCTAACAGGAAAAGGTGATCCAAGTTTTATGGCCTGTTTCTCTTTTTCTTTCTTTCTTTCTTTTTTTCTTTAAAGGGGGGTTTCAAGATTGGGTTTCTCTGTAGCTTTGGAGTCTGTCCTGGACCTAGGTCTTGTAGACCAGGCTGGCCTTGAACTCAGAGATCCACCTGCCTCTGCCTCCCCTAGTGCAGAGGAGATTAAAGGCACGTGCTTCCATCGCCCGGCACAGGGTTTTTATGCATAGCCCAGGCTGGCCTGGAACTCACTGGTAGACAACGCTGACCTCAAACTCAAAGAGATCAGCCTGTCTCTGCCTCCCAAGTGTTGAGAAAAAAACGTGTACCACCACTGCTCAGTTAAGTCTTAGGTCTCGATTTTAGGAAGGCCAAACCCTGCCAAAATAAATGATTAAAACACCCTATCCTTACAGCCAGGTTTTAGTGACACACACCTTTGAGCCCAGCACTGGGGAAGCAGAGGCAGGATTTCTTTGAATTCAAGAGGAGCCTGGTCTACATAGCAAATTGCAGGACAGTCAGGGCTACAAAGAAAGATCCTGTCTCAAAACGAAGGAAAATAACAACAAAAACCCCTCCAACCTTTCCAGGGAAAATATCCTAGAGAATGACTGGGCATTATAACCATGCCACTGCCTCACTGGAGGTAAGCTGACCCAGGTGTTTCCTTCCTACTCTAAGGAGGTCGACCAATTCTCTTAGTTCTGGTAGCCTGGGCAGAGTCAGGAAGCATGTCTAGATGGTGAAGGGCATCCCTGTACATTCAAGAGGCACTTGTTCTGTGTAACCCCTAGGTTTTGCTGGGGCGTCTCCCTTCAATCTTGCCCTAGAAGGTAACAACAACTCACCTTGCTGTGTCTACAAGGTGAGACAGTCCCTCCACTCACCTACAGGCTTGGACACCTCTTTGAGGACGGGAAGGCAGGCCCTGAAGCCCGAAACTTCCCTTCTTGAATCCTTAGCCTCAGAATCCCATTCCGAACTTTCTTTGGCCATGTACTCTTAACGCTTGGTCACTATGCCAACTCCACCAGGCCTTCCAGGCCCACCAGGCTGTTTGGGAGGCAGTCGGGGGGAGCGGGGGGACCACAAAATGACAAGTAACAACTAATTTGTCGGTTTTATGTCCTAGAGCGCGAGGTTGGGGTCCCGATGTACCACCAACCCTGCTCGGTTAGGCCTTCAACCGTTCGGTACCCCCTCCCAGCGCCCCAAACTCACTGCGTGTGCTGGGCGCGGCCTGCGCGGAAGACCTCATCCAGAGCAACGGTGGCCCGACCCAGAAACTTGTCCACACCGATGAGCGAGCGGTGCATGGTGGTGAGCACCAGCTCGCAGGCGGCGTTGGGGCCCGAGGCCCAGGGCGCAGGGGACCCATCTGCCTCCTGTGCCCGCAGTAGGCCGTCCAGGGCACCGGGCGGCAGCTCGAACGAGCACTCCTCGCACCATTCCGGGCAGCCTTGCGTCTTCTCCACCACCGAGGTGCTGTACTTCTCGCGGCCCACCTGGATCACCGTGTACGCGTCGCTGGTGCTGCCGGCGCCTGAGCTCTTACCCCTCAACCCGCTGGCCCGCAGCACAGTCACCTGGACGTGCGTGGGCAGCCAGCGGGAGGACCCGGCCGCGGGCTCGGCGTCGCGCACCAGGGCCATATCTGACCCCGGGACCGAGTGACAGCCGCGGGATGTTATTAGGAGCCGGCTCCCGGCGCTGCCTGCAGCGCACCGACCGCCTCCCCG